CCTCTCACTGTTGTGGCCTCTCCCGTTGCGGAGCACAGGCTCTGGACGCGCAGGCTCAGCGGCCACGGCTCACGGGCCCAGCCGCTCCGCGGCATGTGGGATCTTCCCGGACCGGGGCACGAACCCGTGTTCCCTGCATCAGCAGACGGACTCTCAACCTCTGCGCCACCAGGGAAGCCCGGGTTTTTTTTTTTTTAATACATTTATTTATGGCTGTGTTGGGTCTTGGTTGCTGCGCGGGGGCTTTCTCTAGTTGTGGCGAGCAGGGGCTACTCTTCCTTGCGGTGCGGGGGCTTCTCATTGCAGTGGCTTCTCTTGTTGTGGAGCACGGGCTCTAGGCACACAGGCTTCAGTAGTTGTGGCTCACGGGCTCAGCAGTTGTGGCTCACGGGCTCTAGAGCGCAGGCTCAGTAGTTGTGGCACACGGGCTTAGTTGCTCCGCGGCATGTGGGATCTTCCCGGACCAGGGCTTGAACCCGTGTCCCCTGCATTGGCAGGCGGATTCTTAACCACCACACCACCAGGGAAGTCCCTCACTGTGGTTTTGATGTGCATTTCCCTAGTGACCAGTGATGTTGACCATCTTTTCATGTGGTTGTTGGCCATTTGTATATTTTCTATTTTAAAATGTCTATTTAAGTCTTTTGCCCAACTTTTAACTGAGTTTTTTATCTTTTTGTTGTTGAGTTGTAGAAGTTCCTTATATATTATGGATACTAGACCCTTATCGGACATGTGATTTGCAAATATTTTCTACCATTTTGTGTATAGTTTTTTTTTTCACTTTGTCAATAGTGTCCAGGAGTTCATTTTTGTAGAAAATAAGATACATCTCTTTCATTGAAACAATCAGAACAGGGACTTCCGTGGTGGCGCGGTGTTTAAGAATCCGCCCGTCGATGCAGGGGACGCGGGTTCAACCTCTGGTCCGGGTAGATCCCACGTGCCACGGAGCAACTAAGCCCGCATGCCGCAACTACTGAAGCCCGCACGCCTAGAGCCCGTGCTCCGCAACAAGAGAAGCTACTGCAATGACAAGCCCACGCACAGCAACAAAGAGTAGCCCCCCGCTCACTGCAACTAGAGAAAGCCCGTGCACAGCAACGAAAACCCAAGCAGCCATTAATTAATTGATTGATTGATTAATTAAAAAACAATCTGAACAAATATTGTCATAAACAAATGGAGGTTATCTCTGGGTAGTTTAGATTGTCACTATTTTATGTTATTTCCGAGTTAACCCTGGCAATGATTTCCAAGTTTACTAATTTTGCAGATTGGTAAATGGAAAGTGAAAGTTTCCAATTGTTAGTTCATGTTATGATGTGTGTGCGTCTTGCAAAGGACCCGAGGTGTTGGACATGCAAGGGGTTTCTGAACACACACCCTTGGAGGCAGGGATGCTGTCACAGTCCCCAGGCCCCGCTGGCCAGGTGGAAAGCCCCAGCCCACCCCTACCTCAGTTTCCTGTCATTGTCATTCTGTTTTGTTTCTGCTATTCACTCCAGGGCCCGCCTTGGGAAAAGGAAACCGAAACTGAAGCTGAAATCGGCTACTGTGTGGCTGGCTCCCCGACACCACCCTCTGGCGTGGTTGCTCAGGCTTTAAAAGGGCTGAGCTGCCAGGGCTGGCGAAGAAAGGAAAGCGGAGAGGCAGCCAAGCAGTGTTTGCGGAGGACCTGGCGCCAGAGCCCACAGCCATGGTGAGGCGGGTTTGACAGTGGGGCAGGTGGGCTCGTACCCCTCCCCCTGGTGGCATCTCCCAGGGGCAGAACACCTACATGTGCAAGGCAGGCAGAGCTGCTCGGAACCCCCAGGTTCTTAAGCGTGAGGGGAGGGACGGGGCTCCTTCTGACAGAAGGGTCTGGGTCCTCAGAGGTGGGTTCTGCCCAGTGGCCAACCCTGAGATCCCTTGGGATCAGCACAGGGGGGCGTCTTAGCAGGTGAAGGGAGGCAACCTGATGGTTGTGGTGGTGGCTATTCTTCTAGAAATGCCCGCATGCACTCTTCAGCACCTGGCGTCCCCCTCCTGGTGGGAGGGGAGTCTGGAGAGGAGGGGCAGCATCACGGGGTCTAGCAGCTGCCCCACTGCCAGTGTCACGCATGCAGTGCTCCCAGAACTGGTGCCAGGGTCTCTGAGCCTGTGTGATGCCCACAGGGTAGGAACCTGAAGGTGAAGATGCTCGGGGGCCAGGAGATCCTGGTGCCCCTGAGGGACTCCATGCTGGCATCCGAGCTGAAGCAGCAGATCGCCCAGCAGATCGGCGTGCCCGCCTTCCAGCAGCTCCTGGCCCACCAGGACACTCGTGAGGTGCTGCAGGATGGGGTGCCCCTGGTCTGCCAGGGCCTGGGCCCAGACAGCACCGTCCTGCTGATGGTGCAGAGCAGCAAAGACCCCCTGAGCATCCTGGTGAGGAATGCCAAGGGTCGCAGCAGCAGCTACATGGTCCGGCTGACGCAGAGGGTGGCCGAGCTCAAGCAGCAAGTGTGCCAAAAGGAGCACGTGCAAGCCGACCAGTTCTGGCTGACTTTCGAGGGGAAGCCCATGGAGGACGCGCACCAGCTGGGGGAGTACGGCCTCACCACCCTGTGCACCGTGTTCATGAATCTGCGCCTGCGGGGTGGCGGGGCAGGGCCAGGAGGGCCGCGGGGAGGGCGCCCCACTGAGCACCAGGAATACAGTTGTAGCACCCTCTGTAGCACCATTCTGCACCCTTCTGGTGAGATTGGGGGAGGGGTGGAGGAGGGAGGGGTAAGAGGGGACCCAGGGTCGCTGGGGGAATCAGCAGGCTAGGGTGGCCAAGTTAAGGGACAAACATAGTGGGATCAAAATGGTGACCTCCGCCCGCCCCCGGAGAAGCTGAAGGTGTGTCCCCACATCTTTGGGAAATTAACTTCTAGAGAAATAAAAAGAGGCATATCTGCTGGAGCCTATCCCTGTCTTCACATTGAGCCGTGGTCAGCCCCTGCCTGCACAACTGGTTCCCACCCCTCACATCTGGGTCAGCAGGTAGCACAGGGAGGGGAAGGCCTGGCGAGGTCCCAAAGGCCACAAGGCGAGTGTCCCTAGAAGCGGTGAGTCCGTAGGGCCTGCCTGGGCCAGTTGTGAGGGAGGCTTCCCCACACCAGCTGGGGGCCGGGGGCCTCTTGACCCTCCAGGAACCATCAGCCTACACTGTCCAGCCTGCATTGGTCTGGGGAAAAAGTGGTGACAGGGCCTTGGGCACTCACATCACCATCAGGGCGAGCTGCTGAATCAGCAAATACGCCCTCCTTCAGGGTTCAGTTCATAGAGGGGCCACAGCCAGTAGGTGAGGGGGTACCTGGGATGGGGGTTCCTCCCATCAATGTGGAAGAGTTTGTCCCAGATAGGGGGCACCTAATTTGGCAAAACTACAGCCACTTCCCCACCGGGTGCATCTTTCTGTGCCAGTTTTTCACATGAGCCACTCGCGAGTCAGGCTGAGTCAGCCTTAGACACG